ATACTACTCACTAATAAAAAACGGACAAACCACCAACTCATGCTACAAAATGGATGAACCTCAAAAAACATGCTAAGTGAAAGGAGCCAGACGCATTATTGTGTGATTCCATTTAGATGAAATGTCTGAAATAGGCCAGGGGCCGAGGATGGGAGTGGGAATGACTGTATGGGCATGAGGGAACCTTTTGAGGTAGAAATGTTTTAAAACTGGTTTGTGGTAATGACTGTACAACTCTGTAAGTTTACTAAAAATTTAAATGGGTGGTTTGTAAATTATGCCTCAAAAAAAAAAGACCGTTGCCATTGAGTCAATTCCGACTCATAGTGACCCTATAAGACAGAGCAGAACTGCCCCATAGGGTTTCCAAGGAGCAGGTGGTGGATTCAAACTGCTGACCTTTTGGTTGGCAGCCAAACGCTGAACCACTGCGCCACCAGGGCTCCACCTCAATAAAGCTGAAGGAAAAAAATGTTAAAAATGAACGCATAGTTGAACTCTCAAGAAATAATAATAAATCTCCCAAGGACCAGAAACAAAAAAGGAACTAAAGTTCAGTGTAAGGTTGACAGCAGATACTGCTTCTGCCTGGGAGGTGGGAGAAGGTAGAGTATTGATGCTGGTAATAAAGAGGCTTGGGTCTCATCACCCAGACCAGGGAAAGGAGACCAGGCCTCGGAGCAGCTCAGGAGAAGGAGTTACAGCCAAAGTTTCTGCATAAAGCTGGAACCCAAGGAGTGCAGAGATCTTGTCTTAGGCATCTAGGCAACTCTGCTGCCTGGAACTGGATCTGGCCCAGAGTGTGTGCTCCTTTGTTTAACTGAACCGAACAAAGATGGAGCAGAGAAATGGAAACACAGAGTGAAAAGACAGAAGAAGGGAAGAGAGAGGCTGACCGGGAGGAGAAAGGGAGGTCTAGAGAGGCAGGGAAGGAGTCAAGGAGAAAAACAGGGAGACAGAAGATGGGGAAAAAGGAATGGAGGAGAGAAAATACCTGGGAAGAGAGGATATAGTGGGTGTGGTAGGCAAGGGGGAGCAAGACAGATGAGCCTGGACTTGGGCTAAGGTCTCAGAAGGAGGTGATTGCTCTTTCACTGTTTATTGAGCCTCTACCAAGCAACAGGTGGTGTTCTATGAGCTGTAGACATAGCAGAGTAAGTAATGTGGTGTGGCAGGAAGTGGGTAGGGAGGGTGATCAGAAAAGGCCCATCTGAAGAGCTGTGGTGAAATAAGTTCCTTTATGTGGCCTTTTGCCTTGGTTCTTTGGAAAAACAGCTGGAGAGATTTTCCCCCAAACCTTGAGGAATTACCTTTGCTCTAGTTTTCTACCCCAGAGGGTTTGTTACTCTTCCTGGGTACGCGGTACCAACTTGGTTTGATACTTTTTGTCTGGCCCTAGGCTGCAGCCTGCCCTGTAATTGGTATGCATCTTGCAGGGACTGGTCAATATACTACGCAAATGATGTGACTATGAAATTTGCAAATGAGGTAACTAGCCTACTATACAAATGAAATATCTGTGGCCTACCTGGGAGGGGCCGTGCCTTGAAATTGGCAAGGAGTTGTGTATATATGCAGCCAACCCCACAGAGGTTTTTCATATAGAAGGAGGAAAGAAGCAGAGAGGGAGAGGGAAGGCAAGGAACCTCCTAAAAGAGCTGTAACATGGGTCAAGGGCCAAAACACTGAAGACAGCAACAGGCCTAGAAGGGGCCCTGAGGCAGAGCTGGTGTGGTGACAGAAGGCAGGGCCAAGAGGAGCCTGTCCTCAGGGGGCTGAGAGGAGGCCTGCATAGCCGAGAGGAGCTGAGAGAGTTGTCCTGCTCTAAAGAAGGGAGATTTTGCCTACATGCTTCCTGATCCTGATCCCAAGATATACCCTGTTGCTTCCTTAATAAATCACTTAACTGTAAGTATGGTCTGTGAATTCTTTGTGGCCATTGCAATGGATTATCAAACTCAGAAGAGAAGTAGAGTGCTGTGGGAGGGATGGCTGGTGTCAGAATTGGTAAAAAGATTGGAGAGTGGATGGATGTCTGACCTCTACCTCATGGGAATCAACTTTGGGCTTGATCCTGGTCATTATTCCCCCTGAAGTTAGACAAGTTCTGAGGCTACTCCTACTACCATTTTACAGGAGCTGACATTTAGGCTGAGACCTGAAGTATGAGAAAGTTCTGGCCACTTGAAGAGTCACGGAAAGAGGATTCCAGGTAGAGATGAGAAATAGCTGGGCTTCCCAGAGGAAGAGAACACCATGTCTGGCTAGAACATCATGTGTAATGGGGGAGACTGGTAATGGATGAAGTTGGAGGGGTAGGTAGGAGCAGAGTGTAGGGCCTTCAAAAAGATTTTCCATCAAAAGGGGGAAAATGCAGAACAAAATTTAAAAATTCTCATGAACCCCGAATCCTCAAGAGAGGATTGTTTTGTTTAGGGCAGAAGATAGCACAAGAGCGCCTTTGTGGTGCCTGGGAAAGACTGATGATGCCAGAAGGAAGCCACGTCTTGGAGAAAGCAAGGGGCATGGAATCCAAAACAACTGAGGAGGCCAACCTCAAGTGGCCTCCAGAGGACCTTGGAGAGTCTCTGGTCTTTGCTGGCTGAGCACTACTGGAGGAAGGGTTGAGGGATGGTGGCCTAAGGGCTAAATGCAGCGTGAAGCTGAGTTATGAAGCAGCAAAATATTTTCAGAATTATTGATGGAAAAGTCTTCAGGTGAGACATTCACTCCCTAAATCCCTGTAGCTTGCTGGCTGTCTCCCCACTAGCCTGCAAACCCCTTGAGGGCAGGGCTCCACCCATCCATACTGTCTCACTCCATTTACTAAATGGGCTTCGCACACTTAAATCCCTTACTTGGCCCCTAAACCCTCTTAAGTTTGTGACTTCTGGCCCTTAAAGGTGAAGGGGGGTGTGAAGAGGTCTCCCAGAACTTTGTGGGGGCATCTTTTGCTTGTAAGCCATCTTTAAGGTTTGTTCAATTGATTTTTCAATAAATTGCAAGGTAGGGTATTCCTTCCCCTCCACACTGTTCCAGGTCAGGGAGCTCTAGCTTATTATCTGTGTTGCTGCTAGTAGGGTTTGTTGTTGTTGCTGTTAAGCAGACTAATGTATTCAAGCAAACTTTTGTAGCAGGCTGGTCACAGTATTTGGCACTGTGGCGGGAACAAAGAAGACGTGACTTCTGCCCTGATAAAACCAAACAAAACCCATAGCCATCGAGTCAGTTCTGACTCATAGGGACCCTATAGCACAGAATGGAACTGCCCCATAGGGTTCCCAAGGAGCAACTGGTGGATTCAAGCTACCGACCTTTTGGTTAGCTGAGCTAACTGCGCCACCAGGGCTCCAATAGCCCTGTTAGGGAGGCACATATGTTACAAGGTATGTAAGGGCACTGAGGGCAAGTCATTTAGACCCTTGTTACTCAGTGAGGTCTCTGACCGGCAGCATCGATACCGGGAGCCTGTTAGAAATGCAGAATCTCAGCCCAGCTCTAGCCCTTCTGAATCAGATTCATTTTAACAAGATCCCTAGGTGATTTGTGTGCACGCAAAAGCTTCTGTCTAGAAGGCAGAGATCACTTCCCCACAGAGTGGTCAGGGATTGTCAAGTCAACTGTCATCACCAGACCAAGGCCCTGTGCCGGGCGGTGGGGACCTGGAGGATGAAAGAAAGACGTGGGCCCTGCTCCCAAGGAGTTTGCAGGCTAATTGGGAGACGACCAGCAAGCTATAGGATCCGTGACAGGACTGGTAAGTGGCCCAGGCTGCTTTATGGAGGAGGTGGCTCTGAGATACTCAACCTCTAGTGCTAGTAGACGCATCACTTGTTCTAAGAAAATTCCTTTTACATCCTTAAAGCATGCAGAATTGATCAAGTGCAACACTACTTTTTTTGCTGAAGGTTCAAAGTAACAGCTTTCAGAGGGGAGCACCCTTGTGCTGGGATTCACCCAGCTCTTTGCTCAGTGATATGGTGCACTGAGGTCTCTCTGAACCTCCATTTCCTCCTGCAAAATGGGACAATTTGTACCACATAGGAGTTTATAGAAATTATCCATGCTTTTATTTGAGCTGCAAAACCACCCTATGAGAGGCAGGGTGGTATGGAAGGACTTCACGAAAACTTCATGAACAACAACAAAGAAGAATGCTAACGAACAGTATGTATACTGTGACGTCGTTTTCGTTAAAAAGTCTCGTACATATTATGTAAAACATATGTATGTATATTTTACATTTGTACTATATATGATTAAATAGAGAAAAATACTGACGGATTTCCTGAAGAGTGGAAATAGGTAGAAGGAGAGCAATTCCACTCTTGTGGAATCCTGATTATCTGAGTGTAGTGATTATGGATGATTTTATTTTCTTCCAACTGCTTATCTCTATTTTCTAAATTTTCTACGAGTGTGTGCCCATCCGGGGCTTTCGATTTGTCAGAAGGAGCCCTGTCTCCTTCCTCTATCTGGAGGTTTCCAGCGCCCTCTACCGAACCATCTTCCGTTCCAGCCAACAGTTATTTATACCTGCGCTTCTCAACCGCTGGGGGTCTTGTAAGAGAAGAGATTCTCATTCAGCGGGTCTGGGGTGGAGCCTAGGATTCAGCAGGAGAGGCCAATGCGACACCACACTGCGTGGGAAGGACCGAAACTGATAGGCCACGTGCAGTTTACAGTCTAAAACACCAACCACAGCGCCTGCCTCCATCATCCTGTCCCAGCGTCCTCCCAGCGCACAAACCACCTAAACCCAATGCTGGACACCGCGCACCGCCCCCGGAGAACGGCGCACGGGGAAAACGCACCCTCCGGCAAACGCGAGGCTGGGCCCTAGCGGCCCCGCCCCCACGCCGCCGGGGGAACCCGAATTGGCCGCCCCGCTTACGTCACGTGAGCGCCTCGTTACGTGAACCTGCCGTCCAATAGCGGCGCGCGCTCGACCTTGTCTGTGGCAGGCGCGGCAGGCGAACTGGGCGACGTCGCCGAACACCATGGCTGGAAGGTCGCGGCTCCCGAGTGGTGCCGTGTGCCCTGCCGCCTACCCCGACACCCCCGCCGAATTTCCCCCGCACCTCCAGGCCGGCGCGATGCGTCGCCGCTTCTGGGGCGTGTTCAACTGCCTGTGCGCCGGCGCGTTCGGGGCCCTGGCCGCCGCCTCCGCCAAGCTGGCCTTCAGCAGCGAGGTCGAGCCCGGGGCGCTGCTGCTGCGGGGGCGGGTGGTGCTGGGTGGAGGAGGGGCGCTGCGTGGCCCGCGGGGCTCCCGGGGTGGAGCGGGGATGGAGGCGCAGGGCGCCGCCTCACCCCCCGCGGATCCGTGCGGCCTGGTCCCTGGGCCACAGCGCTGCAGTGAGCCGGGGTGGGAGAGCATCCGTCGACTCTAAATCACGTCAAGCCCTCGTCCAGTGTAGGCGGTAAGAGATGTCAGGGACTGAGGCCCCTTGCTTTACCAGAGACCTAAAATTTTTCCTCCTATTGGGCTAGTTCATTCTTGGGGAAGATGTACGCGTACATCCATCCTGCACCTCTCATTTTAAATCTCTCCCCGTTGCCTCTTACGGTGAAAAGCTTACTGCCCATCTCTACTCAGTAATTAACAGGTGTTCTGACCAGTCTGTCCTGCTGATGGGAAAATTAGGAGTGTCTGGTGTCCTAGGTGTAAGGGAAGACTGAAAGGACCATTCTGGATAGTCTCGGGACGCTCAGAACTCCAAAACTGCCTCCCCACATCTGCTAGTGTCTGTACCTCTTTGCATCTCCCAGCCTGAGTCATAGGCCAGCCTCTGCTTGCTAGAGGTTTCATTGCTTCTGCAACCCAGCGTTAGGCTCTGACCTGGGCAGTGGACAGACTGAAGGCCAGGATTATTTCGGTTCAAGCCTATTGCTAATCCAGTGGGAGCTACCGTGCTTGAGGTTAATATCCTAGTTATAATTTTCCGGGTATGTGGTCCAAAATAAGATGAGCGACTCTGTGGGCCGTGAGGTTTTCATCTTCTCAGGTGTGAAACAGGCCTCCGTCACCCTTTCTATAAGGGATTTACACAATGCCTGTACCACGCGTTTATGTAAATTACAAGAAGGCATCCCTTGCTCAAGACACTGTTCACCTGCTGGAAGACTGTTACAGGAAATATCCTAGGGTGTGATGTCTAGATGGGCACAACGTCCCGAAGAAGCAGCCCTATCTAGGACAATACAAAACTGGCAGGTTTCTAACTTGGGGCCAAGCAAGGGGGTCTGCATATCCTTTGTGCAGGAGGCTTCAACAGACCCTCCTTATGTCAAGGCTCTCCTTAAAGCAAAAAGGAATCTGCAAGTTTTCAAAAAGTAGTACCTGGGATCACCAGTCATACAGTCTCAGGTGGTATTTCCTCCATGCAGGGCTGTGTGCTGGTGAAGGGCATGCAGTCTCACTGCCTGGATTCGAATCCTGCAGGCTGTCACGAGCAGTGGCATTTGGGCGAGTTACTTAATCTACACCTCACGTTCTTTATCTGTAAAATGAAGGAATAAGCGAGAATGCACTCAAAGCACTTAGCAGAGGGCCTGGTGCAGAGTAAAAGCTAAAGAATTCCCAGTGGGGCCGGCCTGAGTAGGCTGGAACCTGGCTTCCTCATACTGCACACTGAATAACAGATAACTTGACTTTCTAAGACTGATCAAGCGTTGATCACTGTGGGATCAATAAGGGACTGGTGTGCAATAGAAAATACTGCTTATAGATTAGCTTTTTGTTTCTGCCCAAGGTCACATGGCCAGCAAGGTGGCTGAATTAGTGTCTTCTCTAAGTTTGTTTCATCTGTAAAATGGGTCTGCTGCCCACTGAAGGGTAAGGGAAGCCCGGTGCAGGAAAGTGCTGAGGCCCCATTGGGTGGTGGTGGGATCTCAATAGAGGCTGGACTGCTGGCACCCACGTCTCTGGGTGTGCTGTGAGTAGGGCTGCAGCTCACGCTGTCTGGGTGGGTGGCTGCAGTGACACTTTTCTCCCGCAGGTCAACATGGGCTTATGCGTGTTAGGCATTGTTGGGATGGCGTTCACCAATTCTATGATGTGGACATTCTTTAGCCGGGGCCTCAGTTTCTCCATGTCTTCGGCCATTGCATCTGTCACGGTGACTTTTTCAAACATCCTTAGTTCGGTGAGTAGTCTGTCCCAAGCCTGGGCTCTGGGAGGTACAGCTTGTCACTCATTATGTGGGTGAGTTGTCCTTGGGGAACTGTTGCTTTCCTGAAAGGAGAAAGGGCAGGAACTGAAGCAGAGGCTTGGCTGTGGCTCAGATTCCTGTGCAGTCAGCCAGCCAGGGCCTTCGGACCGGCCTGCCGGCAATGGAATGTGGCTGATGGCTGCTTTGCAGGGCCTCTTCTGGGCTGGCTCTCACAGGCTCAGTGGGCCAATCTGAGCAGTCCTCTCCCATCTTCTCCTCTCCCTCCCCAGGTCCTTGTAGAGCTGCTTGCTGATTCTGCTTCTCAACCTGTCTTTTACTTAATAACATCTATCACTTCATGGGGTTTGTGTGAACAGGCCTAACATGGTACAGAATTATTCATTCATTCCAGACCACAGAGAAGCCAGTGGATCCCAAGCTGCTCACAGACTGATAGCATCCTGTGGCCTGGCCCACACCTATCATGTCAGAATCCCCAGGTTGTGGAGTCTAGGATTCTCTGTTAACAAGCCCGCCTAGTAACTGTGGTGCACAGCCAGGCTGAGGAGCCCCTATCTATGACATCTCAATAGCGATTGGGCTCCCATTGGTCCAGTTTGAGTCCCAGCTGAAGGATTGGGCTGCTGGCATGTTCATGTGCCTGAGCCCATGACACACGTATGTTCTGATGGACACAGAATCAGGCAGCCTCATTGTCTCAAGCCTCTGAGATACAGTCGTCTCGGTAGGCTTGGCCTAAAGTTCTTATGTGTAAGCTGGGTTTTTGCTAGGAAACTTTGTCTACTGTGGTCAGTAACAGTCTGTCAGAACCATTTTAAAGTTTTCTCACAGTAAAGCTTCCTGCTCATGTTTTTGCTTGGACTGGCCCCCTTGCTAGGGCTGTACAGCTCTTGTATCCAGCTGTGGTGGCTCCTGGATGTGGAAGTTGAGGTAACTCTGTTTTTCCTTTGCCTGTGCTGTAGTTTCTGCCACAGTATTCCCCACTCAGTGGAAGGCCATGAGCCTATTCCTGAGGGCCCTGAGTCAGGTGAGGATTGAAGGGTGCAGGACAGGAGATCTTGCTGAATATCTTCTTGCCAACACAGCCTGGCAGAGAACTGTTCAGGTTGTTCCAGAATTGGAATCCTAGAGCTTAGAGACATGGTCCTGGCAGTTTGGTCACACCCGTTTTTCAGCTCGAAGATGGAAAAGGCCAGAGAAGAGCACTGCATTGGGTATCACAGCTGCCTTGAGATTGGGACGAGGGTGGTGGTGGTGGTGCTTCTTCATACACCCCACATACATCTAGGGCTTGACAAGCCACCAGCTTCTCTGTCAGAGTTCTGGCCCTCAGGTGTAAGGCTGGAAGCAGGAGGGCCCTCAGCGCCTCACTTAGCCTCTCCAAGCTGCTTTCTTCATGGGTTCATTGGTTGGGGTTGAGGCCGTGCTGCCAGCTGATTGTGGTGGGCACAGACTCCAAGTCACGAGTGCTCCTCTTTAAAAACTGCTACAAGCCTGAGGCCCACAGCTGGAGTGAGACCCCGGGGCCCCTACTGCCAGCCTGCCTCCTGGTGGTCGCGGCCACAAGGTGCTGTCTCGCCTCACAAACGGAGCAATTCTCACATTAGATGGGCATGAGCCCAACTCTGTAGCGGACCTGCTTGCTCCCCCTGGTTCTGAAGTCCCTGTGCAGCCCAGCTGTCTGAGTTCAGGCTTCCCTGAGGCCTTTTTTCCTTCTGGGAGCCTGAGGCCAACAAGGTGGTGCTGGCTGCCCCGGGCTGGAGCTGAGCCCAGCCAGTCCTGGCGTTGAGTGAGGGGGGCACTTGGGAGCCAGGGCTCGTGTCTGTGAACACTAGGCCCAGCACACAGTGGGTCCTGTGAGGAAGGGAGCATCCCCTCTGCTACCTTGTGACCTGCCTGAGTTGGGTTTCAAGCCCAGGACTTCAGGCTCCATGCCTTTCCTCCAGGCCCCCTAGGAGGGAGGCCCACCACAGAGGCATGAGGTGGGGCCCACTGCCGTGGCCACGTCTCTCAGGCTCTGTCTGTACACTGCCTCACATCCATGTCTGTCCTCCAGGCTTTCCTGGGCTACGTGCTGTACGGAGAGTGCCAGGAGGTCTTGTGGTGGGGAGGAGTGTTCCTCATCCTCTGCGGACTCACCCTGATCCACAGAAAACTCCCTCCGACCTGGAAGGCCCTTCCACAGAAGCAGCAGTAGCACCGTTAGCTGGACGGACCAGCTGGAAAGATGGCGGCGGTGGCCAGGCTCAGCCAGAGGGTGGTGCCAGGCTGACCAGGCCTCCGGGCCAGCTCTGCTTCCAGGGAAAGCAGGCCAGGAGTGGCCTTCGGGCATGAAGCTTCAGCTTCTGTAAGGGGAGGTACGACCGCAGCAGTGTTCTGATACTTTCTTGGTGTATCTGTATAAAGCTTTGACCCCCATGCCCCCAGGCCGCCCCAGGGAGCCACCTCTGCTGGTGAGCCTGGGCAGATGCCAGAGGCCCTGGGGTAGGTCTGCTTTATGTGTGGTACCTGAAACCAAGCTCTAATTGTAGTTGTGTTGCCCGCCTACGGCCAGTCACATAACACTCAAGTCAGTGACTGGTGGGGCTTGCTGACACCTTCATGCTGATGTACCAGGCCATCTGTGTCATGCTTCCGTATTGTGGCACGGGAAGGAAACTGGGTTAATAAATACTTTCTTTTAAGTTAAAACTACCAGGTACAGAATCTTCATTTTTCTACTCTTGGGAGTAAGCGGTAGGAGCCAGGGGTGAGCTGAAGTTCCCAGAGTGGAGGGACAGGCGCGTGGGCGGGCGCGGAGGCCCAGGCCCCACTGCTGGCTCCCTCCTAGCGTGTTCTCAGTGGCTGTGTGTGTGTGTTCTTTCCTCAGCCACACGGCGGAGCTCTTCAGTTCAGGAGGGGCTGTCCATTCCCTTGGTGCTCTCAAGGAGACAAGTGCGACCTCAGTTCGGGAACCTTGTCCTATTTTATGTATTAGGAGGGAAGCTGGCCCAGAACGTTGCTCCCCACCTCCCCTTCACTTTTAGGCCTCTTCTTTTCTTTCCTTTTTTATCCCAGGTCTCTTGGATCCTTTCTGAGTCTTAGATCTGTGCATGGAATTCTAGTTGCACACTGTCTGTGCTGCCTGCACACACTCCCAGTGGAGCTCGGTGCCTGGAGCTCCCCCAGTTCTCCCCGGGGACTCCCTGGATGCCCAGAGGGCCCTCTCAGCTCTCCTGAGCTTGGCCCCGTCCTCTTCAAGCTTCGCAGCAGGTGAGAGGACTGACAGCAGTGGCTGAGAGGGAAGGTCTTCTCCAGGCTGGCGCCTCCTCCCGCCCACCGCTGCCCATCACAGCTCTCGTTCCTTTCCCAGTGTGTGCACGTTGACAGAATGAGCTTCTTAAAACAGGTCCACGCCACCTCCTGATGGGGATCTGGTCCGAGTCGCCCTCTCTACCTTCTCTCTGCCACCTCCTTAGTCCCCGCCTCCCATACCTCCCCACTGTGCTTCAGTCACCCCAAACAGCTGCGTCTCAATAGTTCTCAAGCCCACCACAACCATTCCTGCCTTCATGCTTTTGCACTTGTTTCCTTTGCTTTGTATTCCCTTCCCCCTCACCTCTCCCAGCAAGCTCCTATTCCTCCTCCTAAACCCCGGTGCACAATTTGCTGCTCTCTTTGCACTCCCACAGGGGCCCAGGCAAAGCTCTGATTCACAGAAGGTTAAATGGTTCACCTCACTTTGACACATATAAGCCCCCCAGCCACACCAGGAGGGAGATGCTCTTGTTATTCCCGTTTCAGAGGTGAGGAAGGATCCCTGGGTGGCACGAACAGTTAAGCGCTCGACTATTATCAGAAGGCTTGGCAGTTCAAACCCACCCAGAACACCTTGGAAAACAGGTCTAGCAATCAGCTTCCAAAAGGTCACAGCCTTGAAAACCCTACGGAGCAGTTCTGATCTGCAGACATGGAGTCGCCATGAGTCAGGATCAACTCGACAGCAACTGACAACAAGAGGTGAGGAAACTAAGGCTCAGCTCAGTTTCCTCAGTTGAATAAGGAAGGTCACGCAGGTAATGAGTAGCAGAACCACAGTGTCAGCCCTTTCTCTGACTCCAGAACTTGGCTCTTAACCCCTGCACTGTCCTGCCTCCCACATCAGCACATTAAAGCCCCGGAGAGGTCCTGCTGTAGAGGGGCCTGTTATACATTGTTACCACAGCATTCCCCAAACCTTGGATCCCTTTTTTCATCTGTCATTCAAGGCTCTGCAGCGTGTATTCACACAGGTGGGTCAGACTTCAGCCAAGGCCAGGCCTGGGGGCTGCTGGGAGCCAGTGGTCAGGCTCCCTGGCCAGTCAGTGAAAAGGGCTGAGAGAAGTCCACCTTGGAGCCGGCATTGTGCTGAGGGGACCCAGCCTCCCGTCCAGAGACCTGCCACATCCGTAATGATGGCTGGTGTTGACCTACTGTCACTCTCAACAAGTAGGCCTGTGAAGATGTTTTTCCAAGAGGAAGATTAGTCATTTTTCAAAAAGCAGAGAGATAACACCTCTCTAGTCGAAGGCGGCGAAGTGTTCACCGTGTGGTTTCCCTCATTTCAGACATATATTGATAAGAGTATAAACTGTGTCCGTATTTGTTTTGCTGGTGTGCATCCTGGATGATGGCTTGAACTTTATCTGGGCTGGCAATTCGACTTCCGGGTTCACCAGCTGATGCTGTGATAGGGCAGTTGTCTTAGTCACCTCGTGCTGCTCTACAAGAAATACCACAAGTGGATGCTTTAACAGATAAATTTATTCTCTCACAGTCTAGTAGGCTACAAGTCCAAATTCAGGGCATCAGCTGCAGGGGAGGGCTTTCTCTGTTGGCTCTGGAGGAAGGTCCATGTCGTCAATCTTCCCTTGGTCTAGGAGGTTCTCAGCTCAGGAACCTCAGGTCCAAAGGACACGCTCTGCTCCCGGCACTGCTTTTTTGGTGGTATGAGGTTCCCACGTCTCTGCTTGCTTCTCTCTTTTATATTTTAAAAGAGATTGGCTTAAGACACTATCTAATCTTGTAGATTTATTCAGCGTAACTGCTGCTAATCCATTTTATTACATCATAGTGATAGGATTTACAACACGTAGGGAAATCACCTCAGATTACAAAATGGTAGACAATCATACTGGGAATCATGACCTAGCCAAGTTGACAGATATTTTAGGGGGACACAGTTCAATCCATGACAGCAGTATTACCCTTTTGTTTTGGTTTTTAATTGATTTTTTAGTATAGTCACAAAGTTGCAAAACCGTCACTACTATCTAATTCCAGAACATTTCTATCACCCCCAAAAGAAACCCCTCTACACTTAGAAGTCACTTCACATTCACTCCTCCCCCAGCCCCTGGCGACCATTAACCGACTTTGTTTCTATGCTTCTGTCTGTTCTGGACATGTCATATAAGTGGAATCATACAAAATACGGCCCTTGGTGTCTGGCTGCTTCCACTCAGCATAGTGTCTTCAAGGTTCATCCCTGGTGTAGCATGAGTGAGTACTTCCTGCCTTGTTGTGGCTGAATAATATTCCATCGCATGAGCTCTCTGTTCCTTTCCCTTGCCCATTCTTCTTTTGGTTTGGGACTGTGTTTTTTGTGTTGTTTTGCTACTCACACTGGAGCCACTCAGTGACTTGCTCTCCCCTTCACCCTATTTTAATTCTCTGCACAACACTTCTCACTTCTAGAAACTAGTCAGTTTACTTGCTTCCTCTGTACCTAAATTGTGAGTGTCTTGAGGACTATGTGTCAGAATCAACTCGATGGCAACGGGTTTGGTTTTAAGGGCATGGGCTGTCTATTTTGATTCACCACTGTATAGGTAGTCTCCAACTTAACAACGTATTTGAGTTACGACGAACAGCACTCGTGAGTATCCCTTTCTCTTTTTTTGTACATCTTATCATTAGTAATATGTACAACATACTATGTTGCAGCGTGTAACTTGTGGATGTCATCATATCCTGAAGTTTATATGTAATGTTTGCAACCCCCAAAGACAAAGATCAGACTTACAAAGATACTGATAATAAAAGGCAATAATAATGAAAACAAAAAAAAAAAAAAAAAAATGAGGTATTCAACTTATGTCACAACCTACTTAAGAAAGAGTCATTGTAATGGAACCCCATCGTAAATCAGGGACTACCTGTATTCCCAGAGACCTGTAATTTGGTAGGTGCTCACAAAATTTGCTGTTAAATGAATGAATGAATGGATGAGTGAATGAATGAATACAAGAAAATAAGTGGTAACGCCAGGCTACCAGTGAAATATATGTATATTCAATTAGAAGGCATTTAGAAAGTAAGACAATTTCTGTGGAGAAGCAGTAGCACCTGTACTTCGTGGGCACAGCCCTGCACAACACAATCCAGCCAAATGTCACCAGAGTTAAAAGGCAAAGCAAAGCACTGTGCTTTGAGCCCTGGTGCCGCTACACCAGAGGGGAAATCCAAAAGAAAAAAGTAACACAATTTGGGCAACAGGGTTCCTCGTTGCATTCCTACTACAGCAGTTAGTTGCCTGATAATCAAGAACTGGTTAGGCAGGGACAGGAGAAATTCCAAGAGTGTGGGCCCCGAACTCAGTATTGAAGTTACTTCTGAAGTTCACCCTTCAGCCAGAGATTAGACAGGGCTATAAACAAACAATAACACATGTAGTTCAGCCATGTGTATGAGACTAAATGGGCACACCAGCCCAAAAGCAAAGATGAGAAGGCAGGAAGGGAGAGGAAAGCTGGATGAATAGAAATGGGGAACCTGAGGTGCAGAAGGGGAGAGTATTAACACATTGCGGGGTTTGCAACCAATGTCACAAAACAATATGTGTATTGTTTAATGAGAAACTAATTTGCTCTGTAAACTTTCACCAAGTGCGCGCACGCGCGCGCATACACATACACAAACAAAACTGGTTAGGCAAATACAGCAGGATATCATGTGCCCATGAAGAGGAAGGAGTCTGAAATAGGAGAACCCTAGGCAAAGTCCACATGGCAAGGAGCCAGCTGTGTCCTGCAGCCCGATGGGTGTGCACAGTGTAAACACTTGTGTACCATGGCAAGCACTAGGGCTGGCTCAATGAAGAGAGATTTCAGAGAGTTATGGATTGAATTGTGTCCTCCAAAAATATGTCAGCTTGGTTAGGTCATGATTCCCAGTATTGTATGATTGTCTACCATTTTGTAATATGATGTGATTTCCGTATGTGTTGTAAATCCTATCACGATGATGTAATAAGATGGATTAGCAGCAGTTACGTTGATGAAATCTACAAGATTAGATAGTGTCTTAAGCCAATCTGTTTTGAGATATAAAAGAGAGAAAGAAGCAAGCAGAGAGACATGGGAATCTCATACCACCAAGAAAGCAGCGCCGGGAGCAGAGTGCGCCCTTTTGACCGGGGTTCCCGTGCGGAGAAGCTCCTCGTCCAGGAGAAGGTTGACAAGGACCTCCTTCAGAGCTGACAGAGAAAGCCTTTCGCTAGAGCTGGTGCCCTGAATTTGGACTTGTAGCCTACTAGACTGTGAGAGAATAAATTTCTCTTTGTTAAAGCCATCCACTTGTAGTATTTCTGTTAGAGCAGCACGAGATGACTAAGACACGGAGTTTATTGCATTTTCATTTTCTGCTATAAAGTTGTTTACACACATGATAAGAAAAACTTCAGATACAAGAAGAAAAGATTTTGCTCCCCCATAAAAAAGGGGGAGAAAGTATCAGGATGGAAATCTTTACGATTGAGACCCTGAGCTCGGCACTGTGAGCAGCCCCAGTGGCACTTGGGACAGTGGGGAGGGCCTGGACCACTCTTTCATCCTCAGAATTGGGAGATAGATTGGGAGGTGGGTTCAGAGATTACTAGGGGAGGGGACGCGAATCCCCCAAAGCAATGCTCATCAGGCTTTTCTTCCAAAACAGACTCTGAGCTTCCTTTGTGAGAGGAGGACAGAGGACACAGCCTCCCCTGACTTCTGGAAAAGGCACCTACCCCCAGGCACATGGCTTTGGGCGTCTCCCAGGCTGCCACTTGAGCACCCTGCCCTTTTGTGTAAGCCAGTCATTCTAGTCACCCTGATCCAATTGAGGACCTGCTGCGTGCCAGGCACTGGCCGGGCACAAGAGAACCAACCGTGGTATTGCCACAAAGCCCTTCCTCACAGTTATCTCAATAAACAGAACAGCTCTCCGAGCCAAACGCTAGCACGTTCGTTCCCGCCCTCGTGGACGCACGGACGCACGCGTTCATTCATGTGCTGAGCACCGACCCCGTGCTGGGGAGACAGAAACAAGAAGATTCTGTTCCTGGCTATAAAATCGGAGTCCCCCGTGAGTTTCGTTTTGAAATGTGTCTCCATCTCCCACCCCTCACCCAGTTTCTAGACCCTTCTCCCACCTTGGTCTCTCCTCGCTTCCCCACCTCCGTCATCTATGGGTTAGCGCGGCTTTCAGGCGAGGAGAGTTTGCACTCAGAACCTCCCGTTCCCTCCTGTGGTGGGGCCTGAGGCATGGTCCCCCTGTCAGCAGAGAGCAGATGGTCTCGAGCTGGGTACCCCGACCCTGAAATCCCAGGGCTGGCCGGGATCCATCACACAGGGGCGGTATAATGGCTGCAGTCCTCGGGGGCCTCACTGCCCCAGTGGCCTGTGACCAGACCCCAGGGTCAGCTGTGGCCCAGGCTGGAAAGGTGAGAACAGATGACCGTTTAGAACCAACTGATGGGTAAAATGCCACACCACACCACACAGATAAAAGAGCCAGCTCTGCTGAGGCCTGGGTGTTCTATTTAGAAGAGAGAAAAGGGAGACTCACTGGCCTGGGAGTAATGAGCTTGGTTCCTCTGCTGACACACATAGGGCCACATTTTCTAGGCCTCAGTTTTCTCATCTGTAAAATGGGAGTGTTGGGGTTTCCCCGCAGAGCTTATTTCTTGTGAAGAGTTTGGAATTATCTTCATCTTAGCACAGCACCCTTTCTCAAGCGCTTCCTCTGCACCAGGCACCATGGAGCTTCTTTAGACACAGTCTCGCAGTCTTCCCTACAGCCCTGTGGCAGGGGTGTTCGTACTGTTTCTCATTTTCCAGAAGAGGAAATGGTGCCTCAGAGAGATTCCTTGTCCATGGTCACACAGTGGGGCTGCAGAGGGCCCTGGACACAGGCCCTGTTCTGTCCAACCCCAAATCTGCCCCCTTTAGACACTTAAGCACTCATTCTGGTACCCTGCATCTTCTGGCGTGGAAGATTCCAGAAAAACTCATCTTGTTCAAGCCCGTCATTTATCAGAAGAGGAAAAGGTGGCCCAGAGAGGTGAAGCAGCTAACACCCAGACTCCATCACCCCAGGCCAGGTCTCCTTCCAGAGGCTTACCTCCCTTTCCATTTCACATAGTTGATTTCATTTTTAAGTGAGTAATCACCTGCATAGTGCTAAATTCTCATGATGCAAAAGGAACTACAGAGAAAAGTAAGCATCCCTCTCCCCACCCCTAAACTCCTGACAGCAGGGTCTAGCACCTCCTGCAGACAGAGCTCAGCTGATGCTTTTTGTAAATGCTGGGTGCACTTCAGGGCTTGGTTTGGTTTATCATATCTGGAAATGCAGCGCCGCGATGTTCGTACTCAGGACAGCAGAAAGCTGCCAGCCTCATTCTCGTTTCTCAAAGTGACCAGGAATGACTCTGTCTCTTCTTAAGCCAGCAAAGGTGATTGTCAGTCTCTGGGCTGCTCGGTCTGGAAGGGACCTTTGACATCATCATTCAATCCTTGCATTTTCCAGGCGAGGAACCTAACGAAAGCCCAGAGAGGCCAAGCGACTTTCCCAATGACACACAACGAGTTAGTGTGGTGTCAGGGCTGGCTCCCAGATCTCCTCACCCCTGGTCTGGGACTTTTGCTGCTATGCCAGGCTGACTCCCTCCAGTAAAATGAACATCATTAAGAAAAAATTACAAGTACCCCTGTGGAGGGCGGAGCATTAATGTCTACCAAAATTACCAACGCTCCTGCCCTTTGGGCCAGCAATTTCACTTGAAGGCATTCAATTCCTCCTGTAGCTACACCCACAGAAGGGTGAAGTGAGCTGTGTGCGAGTTTGTTCTCTGCAGCGCTGGTTGTAACAGTGAGAGATTGGAAGCAACCCTAATGCCCACCAAAAGGAGGGTGGTTAAATCGTGGACCATCAATACAACGAAATACTACGCAGCTGTGGAAAAGAGTGGTCCAGTTCTCTACACACTGATGGAAAGATGGCCCGCATTTCCCAGATACATATTATTTGTTAAAAACTCAGGGTGCAGAACATACCAATATGCTCACCTTTGTGTAAATAAGAGGGAGAAATGATACATAGGTATATTTGCTTCTCAGTGTATAAAAGCTTCTCTGGAAAGATCTGAAAGAAACTGGTAACTAGGATGCATCAGGGTGTCTGGATCACTTGTAACTTTTAGAACCATGTGGGTGCATAATGTATTCAAAAAAATGAAACAAAAATAAAAACCACAAGCAGCTCTTACTTTTTAAACCGAGAAAAAAAGAAAAAGAAAACCATAAAGTTAGTAAAGGTAGCCCAGCTCTTTGAGAGTTGATCTTGATAACCAGAACCTCAAGGCACACGTGGGCAAGGTTATGTGATCCTGTCTTTCCATGTGTTGGTGCCACATAAGAGGCAAGGAAATGCAGTTCTCCATTTTCTTTCCCTTTTAAGTCAGCTCATCTTGGTTCCTGATTTCCTAGGTCTGATATGGAAGGTTCCAAGGTTTCATTATTTCTAATCGATGTCCCTTTCCCAAGGTTGGCCCTTGGCAGCCACGCCAGGGTCACTTCTAACCCAGGGCTACATAAAAAGGGGCCGTTTCCTCCACTGAGTACCAAGTCTTTGGAAGCAACCGCCATCAGGACTAGAGTCTTCCCTGGCAGTTGCAGCAGAGAAGCTGAAGGGCTCATGGAGCACTCAAATGATGAGTGGAAAAATCTCCGCAGAGCCCCATGTCTCGGCCAGCTGGGCACCTTGATGCCCCTCCAGCCAGCTGGCCCTTGAACCAGTGGCATCACTAGGGGAGTGCGGGTGTACCGACCATCCCAGGTGACACTGTCAGACGGGGTGACGCCAACATGACTGTCTATAAAATTTTTGTGCTGTGTTTCAGCAGAAATTTATTCTTTTTTAAAAAATATCCCTGTAGTTAGTTATAACAACAGAAACATTTTTTGTAAGACCAGCTTTGTTGTTGTTATTAGGTGTCTTCGAGTCAGTTTCGACTCATAGCAACCCTATGTACAACAGAACAAAACACTGCCGGGTCCTGCGCCATCCTCACAATTGTTGTTATGCTTGAGCCCATTGTTGCAGCCACTATGTCAATCCATCTCGTTGAGGACCTTCCTTTTTTTCGCTGACCCTCTATTTTACCAAGCATGAATGTCCTCCAGGGACTAGTCTCTCCTGATAACATGTCCAAAGTATGTGAGACAAAGTCTTGCCATCCTTGCTTCTAAGGAGCATTCTGGCTGGACTTCTTCCAGGACAGATTTGTTCGTTCTTTTGGCAGTCCATGGTATATTCAACATTCTTCGCTGTCTTAGTCATCTAGTACTGCTATAACAGAAATACCACAAATGAATGGCTTTAACAAACAGAAGTTTATTCTCTCACAGTCTAGGAGGCTAGAAGTCCGAATTCAGGGCATCAGCTCCAGGGGAAGGCTTTCTCTCTGCCGGCTGTGGAAGAAGGTCCTTGTCATCAATCTTCTGGTCTAGGAGCTTCTCAGGCACAGGGACCCCTGGGTCCAAAGGACACACTCTGCTCCTGGCACTGCTTTCTTGCTTGTATGAGGTCGCCAGTTCTCTGCTCGCTTCCCTTTCCTTTTATCTCTTGTGTAAGATGCAGGCCACACCCCAGGGAAACTCCCTTTACATCGGATCAGGCATGTGACCTGAGTAAGGGTGTTACATCCCACCCTAATCCTCTTTAACATAATCTGATCTTGCCTCATTAACCACAGGCAGAGATTAGGATTTACAACACATAGGAAAATTACATCAATCACAAAATGGAGGGTGACCACACAATACTGGGGATCATGGCCTAACCAAGTTGTCACATATTTTTAGGGAACACAATTTAATCCATGACATTCATTAACACCATAACTCAAAGGCATCAATTCTTTGGTCTTCCTTATTCATTGTCCAGCTTTCGCATGCATTTGAGGTGATCGAAAAACACCATACCTTGGGTCAGGCACACCTTAGTCCTTGAAGTGACATCTTTGCCCAGCTTACATGTATCAATATACCTACAAGGTTAAAACTCTATACTAATTTAGAGTCAGAGCTGTCATTATTCCCCAATTGCAATGCGCTTCGAATCACATAGTTTCGTCTGCACAGCACTATGAGCAAGAGCTGTTGTTTTTGTTGCTGCTGGTGTTTTTATAGTTGCTAATTTTGTCAAATATTCTGGTGTTTTAGCCACAATATTGTGAACCTGGTACTGGAGGCAGTTCGGGGGTGGGGGGCGGCGGTGACACCAACCCTAGTGACGCCACTCAAGTTTGAATTAGATCCCTCTCTAGGCTTGTCGATTCAGCTAAAAACCAGTGGCTCACCTCTGCCTCTGCCCAAGTGTCTTGAGGGCAGGGGCTGCCCTAGGTCTCCTTCATCTCCCTGGGACATGGTTCCTGGCATGAATGAATGAATGAATGACTTCTGGTTCATTTGTCTTCGAGAGTCTTGCTCAAAGGCCAGCCATTTTTTACAGGTTGGTTGGTTCTGCTGGGGTGTGGCAATGTAAAAACAATAAAAGTGGAGGATGTTGGGGTCTCAGTGACTGAGGCTGGGTGAGTTTCCCAGAGGTTACAGCCCCTGGCTGGGACTGACGGGCTCTGAGGAACTGGCAAAACGGGATACTTTCATATTGTGATGGTTAAGATTGTGTGTCACCTTGGCTGGGCCATGATTCTCAGTGTTTTAATGTAATCACTCCCATGATTGAATATACTGTCAGTAGCCAATCAGATGAAAGGGAGTCTCCCTGGGGGTGTGGCCCGCATCTGTATATAAGCAGACGTTCTGGCTTTTTGCTCTCTCTGGATCCTGCGGCTGCTTCCTGTCATCTCATCTCTCGTTCTTGGGACTTGAGCTGTCAGCTTATCTGCCGAACCTGGGATTCGTCGATCTGCACAGCCTGTGAGAGGGAGCCCTGCTCTCTGACCTGCCGATCTTGGGCTTGCCAGCTTCTGCAGCTGTGTGATTTGTCCCTGATCCATAGACTTGGGACATTCTAGCCTCTACAATCATGTGAGCTGTTTTCTTGATATAATCTCTCTC